AAAGTAGAGGGAAAAAACCATTTTATGTGATTAACACATGCCATGGATTGTAACAAAGTTTTGAGCCTTTAGCTTCTACTACTAAAGACCTAAAGTCCTTCACTGATTCTCAGACGGCTGTAATTAACAACTGGATTTAGAAAATAATTAAAAGTTATATTTGTTAGGGAGTTTGGGTCATCTACAGAAATTAGGTGGAGGTTTCCTTGACTAAAAAGAAAAAAAATATATATATTAAAGGGATATTAAAGGGATATAACTTGAATTTATATTGCACACTAAGGGCATTCTAGCAGGACGTTCACCATTGCTGGGATGAGATGGAAGGAATCCTAACACCGCTTTATAAAGAGCCATTCACTTTACTCAAGGCTGAAAGGTGATCTGACTTTTAGATAATTTCACATAATTAATTTAGCATTTAAATGTATGCAAGACAAAAACTTTATATGTGACATGAAATTATACCACACTCAGAGAGTTTATTTAGGTATGTTTAGACATTTGTACAATTGTCAGACTGTGTTTTTTAAATGAAGCTGTTTATCGTCCTGCGTATATTTTTAAACGTTTTCTTCCTCTACTTTAAAACACATTTCATGGCTTTATAAATTTTAGCAGTATGTGTCCGCACATAATCGGGCATAGATGATGATAGCTTTATATCCACACTGAAACAATCTTTCATGCAAATTTGGTAGGGGTGGTAATGTTCAGCAGCATAGACTTCATCTATTTTGTGAAGGCCAAGGCAAAACCTGTGCACTATGAAGCTTTCAGAATAGGAATGAGAGGTATGGAGGATGAGTGCTGACTCTCTGTGCTTAAGTGAAAGCCACGCTTTTTAAGAAAACAAAGTGTAGAATTAACAAAATTCTACTTAATTTCCCGAGCTTCTTTTCTCCTTCCACCCAAGATTCCAAACAACAGGAGACACACAGCATTGCATGGTCTGTTTTCACAAAGCAGTCAGTAGAGGCCTCTCACTTTCAAAGGCACAACTCATGTCCCTCAAGTTCAGTAGAATTATACAAGTATTTCCATTTTATGAGCTCTAGAAGTTACTGCCCCAAAACTCACATATGGCAATGAAGGCTCAGAACTGAAGCTGAAACAAAAATACGCATTACCTCCCCCAGTGACTTCTTCCTCAATTATCTGACATTCCACTGCCATGGTAACAAAGCCATTTGTGTACTCTGTTTTCTCCTTTCCTCTCCCATACATCCATATCTCCTCCCGGCTGCTTCTGGTTGATTTCGTGCAGACAGTTTTTGGTCAGTTTTGAAAAGTCCCATCACCCTGTATGTTATCCACTAGTTATGTAAGCACTGGGAAGGGAAGGTGACTCACTAAGGCTCCTGTTCACTCTCTAGATGCTCTTTCCTGTGACTATATGGGCAAATTGGCTCCTTGTTCTAGAATAATGTTCAGTGGTATGAGTAGTTTCCTAAACTAAAGCTCATAACTCAGAACACCTACCATATTATTTTTTAGAGATGCTCAACAATGCAACAGTTACAATTAGCTCACATATGACAGGTGGAGGTAATTTAATTTGCCACAGCATCACTGAGAACTTTCAAAGCTATTCCTCTGTCATGAAGTCTCCAGCAGACAGCTCTGGCTGATAAACTGTGCTGATCTCTACTTTCCATGCTGATTTACAAATTACTGTTAAATTAACTGACACATGCATCCAGAAGTATGTGCCCGAGTACTACACTGGAAGCCTGTTTCATAAACCTCATTTAGAATTACTGTAATTCCAAGCTAACTTTACCACAGTGTTTTATCTTTGTAATTATTTTACTAATTTTTTCAGTCACAAAATATGACACGCTGACCCAAGAATAATGGGAGAAGTAAATCGGATTTATATGTCAACCAAAAAATTCACCGGAAGATTCCATGTGCAAGTCCTCGATAGAGAACTGACTTGCATTTTCTCATTCATACTCCCCACTTTAAGTATTTCAGACCTGCAAGATTTACTCAAATTACATGAAACCTCTACATATTTGGCACACAGATTGTGACATTAGCTTTAAAATTCCATACACAGATTCTATATACTAAATGAAATGACACAGATTCTTTCTAAATGAAGATAAGGCCTAACTCTTGTATTCTAGTACTCCTTGCACGATGCTCCCATTCACTTAAATCTTTACATTTGTATTCACCTATCCAGCTGGTAATCTAACAAATTTGCAACTTATGTGTACTCAGTTGGGCCATTGTATATGTTTCAGCAGTGAAACAGTAAAGCATACTCTTTCTTCCCATAGGAGATTGCTTTAATGTAGACCAACTAAATTTTCTGGAGCATGCCCATTTAAAAGTCTTGCTGTTGCCCACAATAACTGCATGTAAATATTTAAAATGTTTAGGGTTTTTTTTTTTCTTATAGTAAGTTCATATAGTTAGCCTATTTTTCTACATACAGTGGGCAATAAATGTAACTTTACCCTGTGATAAACACCTGGATTTTTCTACCTACTCAAGCAAGTGTAGAGAAAAGGGTCAGTGAATGAAAAAATAGTTGTACCCAATAAAAGCAGTAGCAGCAGGGCTGACTAACATGAGACAGCATCGGGCTTTTTGTGCAAACTGAAGATATGCTTTTTGCATGCAGCTCTGAGTTACCCAGATGTTATTTTCCAGAGAAGTCTTGCTGGAGAAGACTTTACCATTAAAAGCTTTTGAGGAGATCCCATTCTTGGATAAGGATGCAAAATCCTTCCTTATCAGGTAATTCAACATGACTGAGCACACTCATATTTGGTTGGCATGGGGAGAGTTCTGACTGAACAGTGTCATGCTTGGAGAAATACACAACAGTTTCAACACTGTGAAAAGTTTGAGTACCTGGGATGTAGCCAAGGGTGAGACACAAACCTCTGTTACTCATACCCCAGTCCGGTGAGGTTTGGAGAGTCCCTAGATCTTGCTGATATGAACAGAAGGTAAGAACTCTCACTAGGTCACAGGAAGGAGACCTCAGCCACAGAAAACATAATCAAGCTATTCAAGTTCAAGAGCATTTTAGCAGGGGCCTCCATTAAACTATACAGTCAGAGCCCTTTGCCAAAAACAGAGCTAAAAGTGAAGGGATTTTTCTACAGTCCTAATATTTACAATTATTTGTACATATGTACATATTTATATATTTATTCATACCTGGACAATGTGATGTTGAAGGGAAAATTTATAATTTACAAATGAAACAGTTTAAAAATGTATGCTTATACCATGAAAAAACCCTTTTTTATTGCTTGCCTTCTAGCCTTTTGTTCATAATCACACTATTGCACACATCTCCATGTAACATGGAAGATCTACATTTACATATAAATATATATGAAAATAAGGATATTTTTATTTTAATGTTCTGAGTAAAGTGCTCATTTTTAAGCTACTGTTGATGAGAAAGGTTTAGTCTGACAGTTTAATTAGAGGGAATTCAAGGGATACACACCTTGTCCATGCTTCTCCCTTTCTTTTATAACCTACTAAATGTCTTTATTTTACTGATGTCAACTCTGTCTTAACTATTAATTCTATTTATAATATGCATTTGTGACCTTGGCATCTATACTGTCACACAAAGTACAAAACAGAATCACATCAAAAGCAAAGAAAAAGCAAGAAAATAAAACAGCAAAAGAAAGCAGTGTTTCTCTTTGTTGTTTTTAGCACACTTCCATGTCTTAAGATACTCTTTTATTTGATTTAGAAATATTTGTACAACTTTTTTTAAACTCTGAACATATCTATTTTATGCACTATACTCAAGTTACTGTACAAAACTGCAATAAATGACACTATACGACTACATATGTCTCTACTAGAAGACATCATCATAAAGGTGTATCTTTTTTTAAAGGTCAACTAATAACTGCTAATGTATGTGTGAATCAAAATAGTTTTGATTGGCCAAGTATACTAAAATCTAAATACAGTACATAATTATTATTTATGCTATGATTTACCAGGCCTTTAGGGGCATAAAGAATCTTTGCAAAGGCTCAGAAGAAAAACAATTTTACTGATAGTATTAAATGTTCTTATAAAATTGCCAGTGGCAGATCCAATTTTGTTATATTTGTGTATATGAAATACAGTTGATGCCTACAGATGATGCATGACCTTTTATTAAAAAAATAACATTCAAATCTTAGCAAAATCATTTCTAGTATACAAAGTTGTTGTAAAGTTATGTCAGCGAAATGTAAAGTTGCAATTTACAAAAGCAGCAGTAAATTTTATTATATGGACATATTCCTGAACTTAAATCATGGTTCTTGTTTCCCTTGAAAACAGTGCTTCCTGGGACAAATACAGGTAAATATTGTAATGGCAGGCTTTAGGAAAACATCAAGCAAAAGAAAAAAAAATACATAATATTACTTATAAACTTAAACCTGAAAAATTTCTGAGTGATTCTATAAATCTGAAAATAATTCAATTAAGAACAAAATAAAAAATAATAATAATAAAAAAATCCAGCTTTGCTGAACCAGACAATCCATTTTAGTAATATCAAATAAATAAAACAGTGAAAAAATAAGTATCTCACTAGCAGAAGTTGGTTGCTATTGAGTTTGACTAACCCTTTTCCCTGAAATCAATTAGATTAATTTATTAACAATTTCAAAGAGGACAGAAGTAAGAAACTTGTGGCTTTTGCCGTATAGCAGTGTTCACTACCTCTTCAATCTAACTTGTATCCAGAATGTTTGTGAAGAGCAGAACTGTACTACCTCCGTACTGTTATGTACATGGGTACTGCTATTGTATGAAACAATTACACCTTTTTAAAAAAATCACTTTTTTTAAATGACAGTTTCTTTCACTAAAGTAGAATTACTTACTTTATAGAAAAATATCTTAACTTTAAATTAAAAAAATACTGCTCCTAAATAATTATGTAGAATCACATCTTCATCTCATTGTACGGAGAGAATATAATTCTGTATATTTGAATCCTAGTTTAACAGAAGTCCCCTGGGTTTAACTTTTAAAGAGCTGGCTGTATTTGCCATGGGTGCTATCTGTTTACAGACCCATGAATTAACACTGTGTCCCTCCTTTGGAGACACACAGACAAGACATTTATATACACACTGTACATAATGGTTCACAGATTAGCAGTTATTAGTCGGACTGTACATAGCGAACAACCTATCTGATTAGAATGATGCTTGAAGTCCTCAGTGCAAGTCAGCTTTTAGGTTGATGGTGCAAAGCCAAGTAAGACGGGCTCCCTGTTTAAATATGTAGCCCAATACACTAAATTAAAAGTACCAAATAAGACTGGAAACACTATTCTAGACATTCTGTCAATTTTGCTAACACTGTTGAATGTCTTCTTTGCTTCTTGTGGCTTCGCTTCTGGCTTTGCCTTGTTGGGTTCTGCAGTTGTAGCACTCTTGGAGATGGTTGGTAGCACTGAGTCCTTGGTAATATTTGGAGCATAGTTGGCAACAGCCACTGCATAGGCATTGTTTTTCTTAATGACAGATGCTTTTTCTTTTTTCTATTGGAAGACAGCAGGAAATTAAATATTTCATGTGTATATGCCAGAATAGACTTAATAAATCATAATTTCAAAAGTAAAAGAAGTAAGTGAGCATATTAAAAGAAATACCATGCCAATAAATTCAGATATAAAGAAAGACATTTTAAGTCTATCCAAAAAGAAGGTTGAGGTGACATAAGATTCTCTTGCACCATCAAATGCCCTACTGAAGTTTGTGAGGAAATCTCTGTTACTGTGATTGTAAGCATGACTGGAAAAGAGTTGGCCTTTCTGTAGCGTCTTTTACATCTGTCTCCTTACAATAGAATTGCAAGTTCTATACAATGTTTTCTGTGAAGATTACCCATCATTATAGTAAAATTAAAATTAGGCCACCTTTCTTACATAAAACTAGCATGACTTTTATTTGGGCATGTCTTAACATACCACTAATAAATAAATTAATTTCAGCATAGAATTTCATGCTCAGAATTAAGCATATACATTTTTTTAGATACTCTGGAGAAATGTATTTACACATAAATATACATAGACACACATATAGAGAGGTCAGGAAGAGATTGCAATTAAGTGAAAGAAGGAATCCTGATTGATAGTTTTAGAACTGAGCTGAGATTTAGCCCTAGAACTATTTCTGTTTTTTATCAATTATTGGTTAAAAAAATGCATAACAATGATGAAAACAGGACTAAGAACCTAAAACAGCAGCAGAAGATAAGAAGAGTGGGATGGAATTAATTTAGTGAAGCCCAGAAAAGGGCAATTTAAGTCCTGCACTTGGGGAGGAATAAGCTATGCACCAATGCAGCTTGAGGCTAATGGGTTAGAAAGCAGCTTTGTAGAAAAAGCCTGGGGCCTTTGGCCACCAAGTTGAACACAAGTCAGCACTGAGCCCTCACAGAAGCAATGGCCAGCAGCCTCCTGGGTTACAGAGTGCTGCCAGCCAGCCAAGGGAAGTGATCATTCCCCTCAACTCAGCTCTGGGGAGGCACATCTGGAGTGCTGGATCCAGTTCTGTGCTTCCCAGTTCAAGAGAGAATGAATGAAACTAGTCTAGAGAAGGACCACAGAGATTATTTAAAGCCTGAGACATCTGAATTATAAAAGGCCAAGAGAGCTGGGGATGGTCAGCCTGGAAAAGAGAAGGCTCAGGGGGAGTCTTATCAATGTATGTAAATATCTGAGAATAAAGAAGATTAGACTTTTCCCAGTGAAATCCAGTGGAAGGACAAGAGGCAAAGAGTTCAACATGAAACACAGAATTAGGTATTAAAAAACCTCCAACTTTTACTATGAGCATGACCTAGCACTGGCACAGGTTACCTAAAGAGGTTGTGTAATCTTCATCTTGGAGAATATTAAAAAAATATCTGGACAATGACCCTGAGCAAACATCCCTAGTTGACTCTTCTTGCACTAGGGGAAATAAATTTAATGATCTTCAGAGGTTAATTTCAATCTCACCAATTGTGTGTTGTGATGGGATTGTGTATCCTTTCAAAGGGCTAAAGTTCAACCAGGGGCAGTTCAGTGGAGAGTCCTTGTGTACACATGGCAAAGGGATGTATAGGGAATGAATACAGCCTTGGGCTTTTAGACCAATACCTAGGTTCACAGACTGCTTATGCAATAAGACTGTGATGCTATAAATTAATCCAGTGCTTTGCAGAAATCTTAGACTAAGGAATTTCTAATAACCTGCAGGAAAGAATGGAAGGTAGTTTCTTAGGAAGCAATATATATTATTTACATATATATAAATATAAGAGATATAATTTATATATAAAACATCATACAATAATGTAATTTAAGATATATCTATGTAATTTAGAGGCAAGTGAATAAATATTAGATTTAGTCCATCTCTTCCACAAAATACAGAATTAAGCAGATAAAGAAATAGTTAACTTCTGGATCATATAAAAAATCATCAGTTGGATTGGTTTGTCTTGATTTTTAATTTGATGGAAGTGACACAATAAGGGAATTCTTGTGACAGTTGTCATATAGGTGCATTTCAATTTCTTGCTTCCACTGGGAGGCATCTACTCTATTTGAAATTTTGGGGTTAAATTACATCCAATTTGATATTTATCTGGGCCATCTAAAAATCTTACTAAGATCTTCATGATTACATGTTGTGCCCAAAATACATCGTCTTAGGAGAGGGTGTCACATAAAAAGAGGATCTGGGAATCAGTTGGGAATTCAGCATTGTTCCTTATTGACTGGAATGTGAAAAATAGTTGATCAACTATGCAGCTTTTTCCTGCACCTGCTTTCCTGTGAGGCAAATTCCATGTCAACAGCACTTAGACAAGAATTTCCATATAATGTGAACACAAATGACTGTTACTGAGGAAACATATTTCATTTTAATTGGTGAAGGGTAAGCCTGGCTTTAGGTGAACAGATGCACTCAGCTAAAAAAAGAGCAAATTATCAAATCAAATTATGAGAGGAACACTTTAATTCATCTATAAGACTTTCCTCTCAGACACTATTAGTGTGTTTTCAAAAGGTATCTGTAATACCATTAATGAGACTGGCGTAACAAAGCTGAACCATATTTTTGGATGAGAAGCTATGACTATGTTAAAAGCTTATCTTCTTGTTAAGTCACTTTGAAGAAAGTGGAGAACTCTTAGAATGTAACAGATACTACTGCCACTCCTAGGCAAGGAATACTGCCTAAGATAACTTAAGGAGTTGTCATTCCTGAGATCAGGAGACAACACTGTGGTACTTTAAAGGAATAACCAAAGGATGATCATAGAGTTTATAAGGGCTCCCTACACTATTAAAATGCCAGGACAATGTGCCAGTCTGAAAAGCTTAACTCATGACATGCTGATAAACTTCCCCTGATTTACCTCGAGCAGGAGGTAACAGATCCTGAAGTTATGGATTGTTCATGCCGTTCCGGAAATCACAGGGAATTATGAAGAATGAACATTTCTTCTAATTCTCCTTTACTATTAACTGAACATTTTGCTTCTTTATGCATTTGAAATGATGAGAAATCAGTTAATGAAACCTGCTTCACATTAACTACAATAATTTAGGAAGCAAATGAAATTCTATCCTATTTTAAGAAGAATCACAAAAAGCTGTGTATTTTTCAGAAGAAATCTGTTTTCATTGGTAAAATCAAGGTCTGAGATAGGAAAAAAGGATAAAATATATTAAGTCAGTCAAAATGAGCGAGCTCTAATAATTGTTCTGTTTTTTTGCAATTCTAAACTGCGAATACACAAATTTAGGTGTGTCACCAGATCATTCTGTTTGTGAAATGAGAAATTCTATCAGGTTAAAACTTTTCCATTCCATCACAGCTGCAGCATTATAAAGACCAGAAAATTATAGCATGACTGTGTTTCTGTGTACTCAAAGCATCAAAACATCATAGGTGAAGAATTTTGTACATCTGCTGTCTAAAATAGTTTTTAAATTAATGTCTGGCTATTATTAGGGATAAGTTTTAGAATACTGGAAATGTTCAGAAGATCTAGATTTTGTTATTCACAGTACTTACATATATGGATTTTAATTTGTTTTTCTAAACCTTACATACTGTGAAGATTAATATACATTATATATTTCTTATTTCCAACACAATTGAATTAAAAAAAAATTTAAAAGTGGTCAACCAATATAATCTGGATTAAATTTTATGAATAACCAGATAAACAGTTGTATCTGAGAAGTCAAAAAACAAGACAGTTCCCAAAATAAAAAAATAACATTCTTGATAACTAAATCTGGATTAGTGAAACCAAATGATGTTAGCTACATATGAGGTCAGATACATTTCTGTTTCAGACAGAAAATACATCTACATTCTTTTGATTTAAAGAATCTTTTTTTTTTTCTTTTTTTTTTTTTTTTATATGTAGCAAAATATCAAAACAATATTAGAGCTGGTTTAGGTAACTGACTAGAAATAGGACTATTTCTTAGGACTTACCTTATCATTCACTACACTTTTTCCATCCCAGGCCCATCCTCGCTTTGTGAAATAATTTACAGTTGCAAATTCAATTAATGCAGAGAATACAAATGCATAACAAACAGCAATAAACCAATCCATAGCTGTTGCATATGCTACTTTGGGGAGTGAATTTCGAGCACTGATGCTTAGTGTTGTCATTGTCAACACAGTTGTTACTCCTGCAAGGGGACACAAAAACAGATCAACAATTTAACTTGGATTTTGAATGTTAGCAAAAATAAAACCAAAAAATATTATGGTGTGTTTTTGAAACACAATGCAAGGGGTTTTTTTTCCAAGTTGGTGACAAACATTGCTAGAATTATATTAAATGTTGTATCTGGATTATCCTTTGAAGTAATTTCAGTTCAGTTTCTTGTCTAAATGTCCCTTTTTTAATGACTTGATATTTTACTTACAGAATTTTTTTTTAACCTATCAGGAAAGGATAGGTTATTATAAGGAAAAAAATTAATAATTTCTTCACAGATTCATAATATTTAGCAACATTAGAGTAATACTGATTAATAGGTTAATGTTTGGTAGCTAGCTTCTCTGCAATGGCTGCAGGTCTGGCACCCATATTTACTGAAATTACCACACAAATACACTTTTGTTACGAGAATTTTTATTTTTTTTTTAACAGTACCTGTCTTACTAACCATTCAGTGACATACTCAAAGACATAGGGTAAGTTCTCATTCAGGTAATATGGATTGTTTTCTAGAGCAGCATTGATTTGAAATGACAGATTATTATAACTGTATTATGTGTCAGAAAACAAGCGTTGGTGATACAGGAAGACTGTGCATTCACTGTGCCAGTTACTAAAAGAGCTTTGCAGTACTTTTTACATAATGAGGACCCAGTGGAGAAAAATAAAAAAAATCCCTTGCAAAAGAATCAGGAAGATACATGGGAGGAAAAGAGGAGAAGAACTCTTTTCTGAATTAGATTTAGCAAGCAGAAATCCACAGCCATAAATACAGTCTCCATTCCTTAAGTAAATCAGTTCTCCCACCTCAGGCTGAATCACACTTAGACAAACTAAACTATTCCCTTTGTGGCACACCATTAAGTTCGTCTGCAGAATTAAAAGCAACACAAAGGGATATACTTAGCACAGATCAGCAAACCTACACTTCACTCTGACAGGCAAAGGAGATGCCATGGCAGAAATATTAGTAACAGCCCATCACAGCTTCAACAAATACACACTCATAAAATTGCTGTAGGAGGCATCCCAAGAGAAAGTAAAGTCACTCTCCCTAAGCCAGATCTTCTGCTGTCATCAATCTGTCACCTGGGTTCTGGAGGACCGACCTAGCTCTGATTTCCCTTCTGCTACGAGAGAAGAAGCAATTTTAACCATTGTGTGAAAGGGAAGAGAGGCAGCAATTACATTTACTGAGACCTCCTCAGACTTCACAATTTTCATGCCTCCATCTCTGAAGGTGCTACAAAGAGTGACAGAGCAAAGCTAAGTGGACTCAGCCTCAGTGCCTTCAAAGGTCCGTGCAGGGAAAACAACACACAGAACACCCTGCTGAGTCACATGGTATTGAGACACCTTAGCAAACATAAATCTCTGCTGTTTTTCAGCCTCCATAAATTAAAAAAGTGGATTTGGCCTGGAATCAGTCATAACACTGTTTGCATCTACTAGTCTATACAATGAAAAGAAAGCAGCTATCATATAGCTATATGGTACTATAGCATATGTACTATATGGTACAGTATAAAAATCTATAGACAAAATATATTTTGTAAAGAACTTAGTCTCTCCTAACACTTACAGAACATATGGCTTAATTATTTTCAGCACCTCAGGGAAAAGACAGCCTATCTTACATTTAAAATTATCACATGTAAATTTTAACATCGGTCCTGAGCTGCAGATAAATCATTCTAATTATACAGAAGTATCAGTAAGTGAATTTTTCTCAGATATAAGGTGACCTTATCCACATGTAAATATATACAGTTGCTAAGGTACTGCTCAGTTTAAATCCCACTTTATAGAATAAATTAATCTTCTGGAAGCCACATTGACTTCTTCAGAAATCTGATTTAAGATTTACTGCTGACCTTTCCTAGTCTCAGTTAAAACATTGTGAATTTATATCTTGTTACCCCATGCTACCACTTGACAACTTCTCTAAAAAGTTCAGCAAGTTACACCACTTTGTGACCCAAATGCTAATCAAGCAGCACACTGTCAGACATTGCCAACATACTTCCATTTTATTCCTTTACTCTATAAATTTAGTGCTGTTCAAGCTGCCACAGTCATTTAACCTGAATTGAATGGGAAAAAATTGGACAGAAAATTTAATCTGAAATATCTGTCAGTTTAGTTCTCTAGTCCTTTTATATTGCTATTATTCTTCAGAGAAAAGACAGATGATTTTGCACATTATAGTTAATTTGAAAAATCAGTTTTATCAAGTCTTTATCAAGTCTTCTTTATGAAATAAAATGAATTGAAATTCCCTGCCTCCTTGCCACTGCTAAACTTGAGAGGACTGAAAAGTTAGTAATGTGGAAGAACATTCAACTTGTCAACTTGTATAACAAAACTCATTTATTTCACAAATATTTAACTTAAACACTTTAACTTCACAATTATTTAACTTAAAACCCCGCAAAACCCATACACTGATCAGAACAAAACTGTTCCTCATTGCTTATCTATGCCAATGCCAATGAACTAAAATTGGTATAAAAACCAGTGAGCAGTTTGTAGCCCCCACAATGAAGTAGTCAAAAAAATATTTGAAAGGCTATGTAAAGAGTGCATGGTATCTCACTATGATGTAGAAGAAACACAGTTTACATACAGATCAAGAACTATATTCTATAGCCCAGCACCCAGCAGATGTGGCAACTGAATTGATGCCAGAAGAAATGGTCATGTATTATTTTGTAAGGGACCATGAGCAGTCATCAGTTTGTCTTTGAAAAAGATCCAGAAAATAAACCACTGACATTTCCTTTCTCCAAAGAAGAGCAAGGATTTTTTACTTAACAGTAAACATCCTTACAAGGCTTGTTTTCAGCAGTGGATGCCTATAAAGCTAAATATCTTCTATCACTACAGGTTTTTTCCATTCCAGCCAAGACTGGAGCTATTTGATTGCCTGGGATTTTTTGTTTGTTTGTTTGTTTGGGGTTTTGTTGTTGTTGTTGTTGGTTTTGTTGTTTTTTTTAATGGTGCTACTTTTGAAATGTCATTTGTGTACTGGAGAGAGAAAATCCATCTCCAGAGCTGCAAATTCAACACTCTGGCACTAAACTTTTATCTCTGGAAAATACCAGCTATGTTATGCTTATAACAGTGGAAGAGATAACCTAAAAACTAGAAATGTCTACATAGAAACATAGAGTGGAAATTGGAGGAGCTAACACTTATATATTAAAGTTAAAATCTGTCATGATGACTACGTTATGCCCCATTTATATACAAAAGTCAGAGTACTCCTTGACAGAGACAAATTTTTGGACCCTAAATTCACTTCTTGTGTATTAGCTGATTTTTCTAATTTGAAGAGACTTTAGTCAACTGAACATATCCTAGCCTTTTGTGCTAGAATGTGGACACTTCCTTTGAAAAGGAAAAACCTAATTAATGAGTTACCAAAGGACAATTCTGTAATAAAGAGGTACTACAAATTTGCAAATACTTTGTACAAAATGTGCTCTATTTCCTATAATTTCAGGCTACTCCTCTCACTATTTTATCATTTCAGCACAGAAGTTTGCAAAGTTACACATAATGGTTGAATAATATATCACAAAAGAACTGATAAATCACTTTTTTTTAAATTTAGAAATTAATTTAATTGTTCTATTTTTTTTAACAGCAATTGCAAATGTGTTTTGGACCATTCCAGCCTGGTCCAAAACACAAAGAGATTCATAAATACAAATAACAGCAGAAAGGAAAGATTGTTGACCATTTCAGAGATACAGATAACTACTTCATCAAGACTAAATAGTTAGAAGTGTAAACAAAAGCTTAAAAATTCTGTTTGTAGCATGATATTAAAGTATTGCACCATAACATTTGGCTTCACAATACATTGTTTGCTTTCATTTACTCAGTGTGTGTGTGTTGTTAGAGAATGCAATACAAAAGGAGTGTACAGTGATTTTGCTCGAACACGGAGGTAAGTCTGAACAACCATTGAGAGAAAGATAACAGAAAATAGCTCAAGCACTCTGTCTATCCTTTTTACTAAAAGAACAACACAAAACAGTCTTTTTAAATAGCTTGGGAGGCAGTAACCATAACAAAATCTATTTCCAGCAAAGTTGGATTCAATCAGTTGGGTAAGCTATGCATCCATATGGTGAAGTCAGTCCCATGCTGCTTCACTGTATCAATACTGAGCAATGGAACACAATTTCCCATTGAGCAACAGACAAGCTTATTCCCAAAGCCAAATGCCAAGTGCTATCTACCCCAGTTCCAGGAAAAGTTGCATGCAGTTATGGCACCACTGGAATATGAACTAGTGCCTTCACACATCACTAAGTTGAGGAGACATTACTTGTTTGCAGCCAGCTCAGTCCCTTACTCAGGGCTAGTTTTCCACTACCCACTGCCTATCATTATATTATTATATCTACATTTAGCAGAAATTCCCAATTAAGAAATTATAAACAGAAATGTGTGAGTGGTGGGATATCTCTAAAGGCACAAAAGATAATCTGCAGCATGCAAAAGGAGAGAAGAATAAAGACAAGATTTTTTTTTCATTGAAATGGGGAAAAGTACATTGTATCTATAGAATTGTTCAAAAGGACGAGTATTATTTAATTCCCATGTAAAAAGAACCAGGGAACAAATCTGAACTTTTCTTGGGTTTCTCTTTCTGTAGGGTCACAACTAAAAAGTTGCTTTGGGTTTGTATGGCAAGGTTTTGGTAGTGGAGGACTACAGCGGTGGCTGCCAGGAGATTTCCCCATGCCTGAGAGATCCAAAGCCAGCCAGCTCCAGGAGAGACACACCACTACTGTCCAAGGCCAAGCCCAAGGACAGCACTGGCAGTGCCTCTGGGACAACATATTTAAGTTGGAGAAAAAATTATATTGAGCAGAGGCAGCTGCAGCCAGATAAGAAAAGGGAGAATATGTGACAGAAACAACTCTGCAGACACCCAGGTCAGTCAAGAGGGAGAGGGAGAGGGAGAGGGAGAGGGAGAGGGAGGGGGACGGGAAGGGGGGGGCGA